CCTCCTCCTCCTTGTGTTGTGTTGAGAGAGAATCTTTTGTCGTTATAGTCCCCCCCCATACTTTCGTAGACCCCCACTTTTCTCAACGCTTCCGTGGGCACTGCATTACATTACCCTTAAGAACCCTAATTGACTTGAACGCTGAATCACCAAAATCACTCTGATCCGCTCCACACAACCCAACATCACCCGCCCACCCCATATCGCTGCAATTCACTTTTAACCCATAGTACCACCTGTTGGTATCTGCGCGCGATGCCAAACCGCCTGCCCTTAGCGCATAGACCGAGAGAGTTAACGAGACCAAAAGCCATGTTTATAACTCCAACTCTTATTATCTCCACTCAAGAATTTCAATCACAAGGCTAAACCACATAATGGTTATGCCTAGTGCAATTACATAACCTAGAATTCTGTACCAACCATTATCTTCGTGGCCTCTTAATAACCTTATCAACATTCTAAAATGCTTGTGTTTTCTTTCATGCTTGAAAACAAATCACGCAATAGATTTTCAAATTACGTAATTTCAAAATACTAAGCGTATACAAATCATGAAATGCTGGGATAACTACCGCAAGCAAACATTTTGCGGACCAGTCTGCGTGTTTAGAAGATTTAGTTACTCAATCATCAAAGCGAAATTTGTTTGGCAGTGCGTGAATCTTATGTTGTAGCAATGCTACCAAGTCTGAATCACTCTTAGCGTTAAGCGATGGCTCATTTGTTCGTGAATCTGCCCTTTTACAGAAGATGTCTCTGTTGCTTATGAAAATGGCCAGTTAAACTATAACCAAAGGATTGCTCTCTATGTCTCAGGCACCACGCCAGTCCTCAAGATCAACGCTGCTCAAGGGAATCAACACTGGGCTGGAGAAGCTCGAGCAGTTTTTTAAGATCCCACTGGTCGTATTGCTCATTAGTCCAGCCTTTTCTCTAGGCGCCTCCTCATCTTCAGGAAAAAAGCCATAGTTGCAGCAATATCATTCCCCAGTCGTCGTTGTTATTTCCTGCTTGTTTTCATTGTACTGGTTTCTGGTATTGGTAGAAGCGAACAAGAGAAACACGTGGAATCGAAACGATATAATCAAGACATGTATTTGCTTACTCGGAGGCTGAATTGGAATGTTTTTGGCATCTTGCCGGTGCATTGCCCTTCTGTCCCTTTGCCCTTTCTTTCTGCGGCTGCCCTTTGGCATATTTCCCTGTGCTTTCTATTTGGCCCTTTGGTATTCACCCCCTTCTTTCTTCGCTGCTCTTTGCTCCCCAGTGCTTTCTTGCCTTAACTCTTTCCCCTTTCTTTCTTTTTGCCTTTTTAGGACTCCCCCTGTTTTCTCCTTTGCAGCGTATTATATGAAACTGTTCCCAATGGCCGTCTTGTTTTCCTTCCAGTTCTATCGATGCCTGTTAACAAGCTTACATGACCGAAACAAAGGACTTGTTCTAGACTAATCTCCAACACTCCTTAGAACGCCGTCTCCAAATTCCTAATTATATGACGTCACAAAAAACCGCTCCTGCGGAAATCCAGTATATTTCAAGAATCTTCAGTTGAATGCGTCCCCCGAAATGAAGAGTGCTATGACACTTTGCAAAGAAACATATTATACTAACAAAGCTCCCCTGTGCAATGCAGCTGCAAATTGAAATGGTTACAGTAACCTTACCAGCAATGGTGACCGTGAGATCCAGGTGAATACATTCACCATGGACAAGCGTATGCCGAAATACTGGTATGAAATTGAAAATTCGTTTCCGAACTTCAAAATGGTTATGATAATCATAATCTTACTTGATGACGGTTTGCTAAAAGTGATGTATTTAAGGAAACTTTAATCATATAAATATTTTGACTTTCATACTGAATTTTTTTGTATTACTAATTCGAGCTTCTCCTCGTTTAGCTGCAGTTCCTTTTTATCGTTATAAAACTAACATTAGCTAAAGTATCGTCATCTAAACCATCTTACATTTTTAATATCTTAAAATTTTTAGTTTCGAAAATTGTTTCTGATGCTAGATATTTCGATTACGAAATGCCATGACCACATTGGGGTTAACAAGTTATGTCAATCGGGTCGGACAGAAGCGAAGGCTTCATGCGCATCTATCTTAGTGACGTTCCAAAATCGCAATGTTCACCTCACTCTCTTATATTCTCGCAAAAATGTCGTGACCAATGGAGGTTGACAGTTCCAACATACGGAACTTAGAAGACGATTGCTGGGTCAAGTAACAAGAACAGAAGTACACAGTCCCGTATGAATTTGGATCCTCACACAACTCGATGAGATTTCGATATCAACGGTCCTATTATCTTTAGACCCAGCAACGAAATTATCATTTTTGATTGTGTCAAAATTTGTGCTTGCAGCCAATGACCATCGGGAATATGACGTTAGTTGAGAGGGGTTCGGCTAGTACTTTTACACTTAAGGCAAAAGGCAGCAGCAAATCATTCGTTGTTGAAATTACTTTAAAGCATGTGCATGAGGAAAGTTACCGCCTCCCAAACCCACATTCCTCCGCACCCCAGTATGCCCTCTGCAAACCAAAAGATAACCTCAGCTACCCCATATTCCTACTACCCCCAAATATATCCTCACTACCCCAGATGCCTCTTGCTACCCAAGATACATCACTATCCCAATGTCCTCTTCTACCCCAATATAACCATCAGTTCCCCAAGTCCTCTGCTACCCCAAGATACCTCCTACCCCAGATGTCCTCTGTACCCCATAAACCTCATCTACCCGATGTCCTCTGCTACTCCCAATATAACCTCCAGCTACCCCAGATTCTATTACTACCCCAACATACCATCAGCTACCCCAGATTCCCTCACTACCCCCAATATAAACCTCACTTACCCCAGATAGCTTCTGTTGCCCCCTGATGCCCCCATTGTCCGCTACTCCCCTACCACCACTTTCTCCTTCACCTTAGTCACCCCACTCCTTAATCCGCTCTTCAACCCTAATTCATAACAAAATATCTCATTCATGGTGGTGAATTTTGAATTCAGCCTAATTATGGACGTTTCTAATCACAACCCCCCCCCCCCCCCCCCCCCCCTCACTCCCCCAAAACGATCACGACATCATACACTACATGTGCTTCTTGAAAGCGTCGCTCCTTTCCCAAACATTTGAGAAATTAAATCTTCTAAGTTTTTTTCTTATTTCTATTGAGTTTCATTTTCTTCGTTTTTAGTTTTATGCAGAAAATGTTGACAAATCGAAAAAAGAAAAATATGAGTTAAATTCCATCTTGTAATAAAATTATAGCTCTTTACACATTATCATCGTGACGAAGTCAGTAAAATTAAATACTCTTTTTACCTGAACGTTGGACTTCGACCTATTGTTATTTTGCCTTCGACTGTGGCCTTGCAGTATGGACCTTTGGCTTCAACCTTTTGCCTCTTTCGTTATCTTTCACTTTCACTCTCTTTATTAATACAGTAATATGAAATTTTATTTTTATTTTTCATTTCAAAAGCTATATTTAAGGCCAGGTGCCGATCTAATCATTGTAATGGTTATCGCCAATACTTCTGCTCTATTTAGATAAAGTGGAAATCTTAAATTTTGTTTGAATATCAACTAGAATTGCAACTTAACATACGGCCCATGCTAATGACAAGAACCAAGGGATACGGAGATTAAATTATGAGTAGGGATCACAGCCCCGTGCGAGCGTCCTTCAGTTTCAGAGAAAATTAACCCCATCAGCCTTTGAGTTTGAAATTTTGTGGGCAAGATCCCCTCAGCCCCTCCCCCCTGCTTCCAAAGCTTCGCTGTTCCTAATATGATGTTCGACGTCATGCTTTGATCAGAACACTTCCACCCCTTATCACATTCAACTACACCACCCTGACCGGGGGGGGCTTAAACAACCCATTTTTTCTAGAACGTATGTAAATTTTTATAATAACATAATATTAAATGCAGTTAATCGATACAATTTTCTAAACGTCTATCAGATGTTTTTGTGATCTTGATTTATGTTTAATTGATATGATGTTATAATTTATACGATTTTTTGAGTATTTTATTTCTTTAAGAAAATTCTCATCGCCGTCAAATTCCTAAAATCAAAATATATTTCTGAAAACTCGTCCTTTATCATGCATTTCGCTCTCATTTCTCAAAAAATCCGAAATGAACACAGAAGATTAATTTATGTGAAACGCTTTCATCCAAATCGTCCATGTAGAAAATTTCAAAATATTTCTAGTTATTAAACACGAAAGAAATTTCAACTCATGCTGAGACTAAACCAGGGCGCCGTCAAAATAGCATGCTGAAGGGGGCTGTGCTATCAGCACTTCTAGATCTCACAAATTACATGCTCTTTATGCTGCATTTCTGTTAAAGGATCTTCTTTCGTTTCATGAAACAATTGTTTAAAACGTTTTTTGTAATTGACCATAAAAATTTTGATTTTAACAATTAAAATTTCTCGAAATTTGTTATGATAAGTACTCTACATTAGCATCAAACTTCATGTGCTTTCAATAAAACTTTCCAAACGAGCTCAAGATATCTGGATTTTCTTTCACAACGCTCACAATTTTTCGTTCTCATTCCCTAATCAGCACGGTGAGTGTTAAAATGAAAGTTTTTCATCACTAGGTGCTTCGCCCGCAACTTTTAAGATTGTCGTCAGATTAAAATAGTACCACGTGCTGCAAATGGATCCCAGCCACCCCTCCTCCCCCCCCCCCCTTGAGAATAATAGCCAGCGACGGTCCTGGCAGAAATGCAGTATTTAGAGCTAGACTCTCAACCGTTTTCGTAAGGGCAAAGCTACACTATCAAACACAAGTGATCAAACCCTATAGAATTTTGAACTATTATTTTCAATATGTTACCTTATTAAGCAAAATACTTCTTGGACAGCAAAAACCACGTAAGCTTTACGGAAAACAATTGCTTCTAATAAAAGCAATTTATTCATGGCCACTTTTGTGAACAAAAGCAATTGATGGCAATTGAAAAAGTTTTTATTTTCCTTGTTTCGAAATTAGATGGACATTATCGTTCGCAAACCGTCCTCGTTGAGACCGCAAGTGGCCTAAAATTGTGTCATTAATTACAACGAGGTACAATTTAGAAATAACAAACTACCTTTTCTAGAAGTTGTTTCTAAGATACATCTGGCTTAATTTCCCGAATTAAAATTACAGTCAAGTACCGGCCTCTGCATTTTCTCTCCACGTTTTCAAGTTATTTTTATGTTCCTTTCACAATATTCAAAACCATCTAAGCATTGGTCATATAAGCATTCGTAATATTAAAGTTACTGTCCAATAGCTAAAAATAGCTTGTCCTAAGCTTTGTAATCAAAGTTATGTAATCAACCCTAATTCTAATACGCCTTAATTATAATCTAAATTTGGATGAAATTAAACCCTCACTCTAATCTTACCCTGACACTGATCAATTCCTACCCATGATCTGTCCCTCGCTAAAATCCAACCCTATCGTTAATGTAACCCTAACCTTAATCCAAGGGGTAGAGAACCAAGGACCAAGGGAGAGTTCTGCCCCCTCCTAATATTCTAGAGGATCCCCAAACAAAAACGTTGGCAGATCGTAACGTGTTCAAAAATGAGCACATGCCACCTCTTAACCCTCTCTTCTATGAGCACATGTGTTGGTTTGTACATGTTTGTTGTGCATTACCCACGTACTTTATTTTTAAAATATTCATTTCTTTATAATGCCTCAATCTCACCCTTACCTTACTCTGATATTACTCTGCTCAAACCTTAATTCTTATTTATCCCTATTCAAGTTTTTGCGTTACAAGAAACATTTGGATGTTTGAGCGAATTCAAGCATTGATTACAACATTTCAAATCCGTAGCTCTTTGTCTGGTTTTCTGCGTTTTTACTTGTAGCATCTTTGTTTAGTCTCCAATGAGCATTCAAATAATTTGGATAAAGTCTATTGCCCCAGTTTCCCTCAGGTGCCCTAGCTGCCCCTAGCTGCTCCTAGCTGCTCCTAGCTGCCCCTAGCTGCCCCTATCTGCTCCTAGCTGCTCCTAGCTGCTCCTAGCTGCCCCTAGCTGCCCCTAGCTACTCCTAGCTGCCCCTAGCTGCCCCTAGCTGCCCCTAGCTGCCCCTAGCTGCCCAATTCTGCCTCTTCTGCCCAAGCTACTCTCAGGTACCCTAGCACTGACAGGTATTGAATTAAAACATTTAGTTTTCACTAAAAGGCGGGCATTTCCAATTTCAATTTGACCATTGACAGACAAGCACTTGCAAGCTATTCCGTCTATTTTCGTTAGATTTTTAAGGTTTTTCAAATTTTCTTTTTCAACGCATTTGGTAGGCGGTCCCAAGTTGGGTGTCTGATAGACATAAAGACTTTTAGACCAGATTGTTCTTCAATTAGGCCTAAAGTGGCCTGCTTTTACTTCTTAGTGGAACATGCTTTGACCGTATTGTAAAGGTATTTTTTACAAACTTTGTTTCAGACTTTTTTGACTTTTTGAAGAGCAAATCGTTTTGCGAACTCTTATGATAACTACGCTGTTCCTTCACCCAGAGCATGTTCTTTTAATTTTCCAATTCTCTCCAGAGATTTAGAAGATGGAAAATATTAGACCAAGGGACAAACATTGAAATAAGAATGTACAAAGTTATGAGAACAACATCTTTCATCTTTAAGCCAAGAAACCTCACCATTCTGCCTTGAAGCTCCAACTGTTTTTAAATAATCCAACACATAGAAGCCCCTAATAACAGGGTTATTCGCTGACTAGAAGTGCTTTGCATTCCCTTTGACCCTTTCCAAATACATTTAACCCCCCCCCCCCCAATAATGTACTCATTTGCTAACTCGAATCATCTTTATCTCTCTTTATAAGACCTAGAGTTTTGAGGGTTACTCTATATCTTCGATCGATTTGCCTACCATTATAAAAAAGTCTCGATTTCATTACAACATGGCAATTAACTACAATGCGAGCATCCGTGTTTCGAAATCTTTATCCACGATTATCACACGTAGCATCTCTCCCCTAACAAACCCCAATAAAACAAACTAATTAGTTACAAAAGTAATTATTACAAAGTAATAAATTGTTGATTATCGCGCGGTTGTGGGTTGAGGTGATTTTCAGACCCGTTGCTACCGTTGCTGACCCTTAAGTATGCACTCTCACTGCTCTAATGACGGCCCATTAATTTCGTGAAAAGTATAAAAGCTCATTTCTGAGAGAGAGAGGACATTCGAACAGCAGAGCTGTCAAGATGGCTAGGCCTGTTTTTGTCTTCGCATTGGTCGTCGCTGCAGTTGTGCCTTTTATCTTAGCTGATGAGTCAGGTATGTTTCGAATTTCTTTATTTAAAATTTAGTTTCAACACTTTTATTTCAATTGCTGATTTTTTTACTCTCGATCATCGCACTGTATTTGTTTATATCAAGTTTGCTCATCTTTGGTCTGACTTTTCACATTTGAAATTTGACCCCGAAGCATACTATGTCGTTTTCACCTTTTGAAGTTTGGAATTCGACTCCGAAGTTTGCTTTATCGCTTGCCCAACTTTTTTGTACATTTTATCGCTAAAAATGCCCAAAAGATTTATGTGTTTGTAACTCGTGATTTGGGGCTGATAACTGTAAGCTGAGTAACTAAGATTCTGCTTTTCACTTTTGATCTTTGAAATTTGACCGCAAAATAACACCTCATCATTGGTGCAACTCACTCGCCAATCGGTTTTTAAAGATTAGTTTCTAAAACATTTTCCACCTGAAATTGAAAAATTGAAGCCAGTATTACAGACAGACGTATCTAAAATTTGATTATCGAAAATTTGATTCTGTTTTCCAAAATCTATCCTTAAGTGAAAAGTATGAACTTTCTCCCTTTTTCATTTAGAGAAGAAAACGAAAATACTTTAAAAATCTCGTAAATTTTTCACAGCCAAGAGACTCTTAAGGAATTAAAGATTGTAGTTGCACGACGAAGCTGGGGCACTCTAGATTGAACTTTTGTTAAAAAATAGATACATTTTGTTGTGGCCTTTGCACTGGTTAGCCTATTGCTAAATTTGCGAAAAGTTACTTGTCACCTTGACCTTTGCCTTTCGAAATTTGACCCAAAACTCGCACCATCTCTTAGACCAGGTTTAACATATCACCCTCGCACCCTACTATCTCTAGGCCTCTCCTCTCCATTCCTCTTGGCCTTTCCATTTCATTATGAATTTATGGCTTATTTTATTTCCTTTACATTCTAGTTTCTGATGACAAGTCAAGCGAAGATTGGGGTCATGGCTACCCCCCGTTATCCGCCATAAAAATCATCAACAAAGGCTATTACCCTGGATACAAATGCATTGGCTTACCAAGTGGCCCCTACTATCAATACAAGCCCCATCTTTGCTGGAAACTTGGATACCGCAACCCATACTGGAAGATCTCTAGATATGGTAAGTTAATTGCATCATGTCCTACTTTAGTAGCCTTTGTCGTTCGACAAGGATCTTTCCTCGCTGCAGATAATGTTTATATTGCCTGTTGTGACGTTTCAACAAGCGCATCTGTAGTGGAAATTGAGCTTTTTGACATTTTTGGCTAAACACTATTTAAAATTGTTATTTAAAAGGACCCTGTTTTGAAAACTGAGCTTTTTTTAAAAATCAGCGCATCTTATGAATGAACTGTTTCAGCAGCATTTCATCCGTAGGCAAAATATTCCCATTTTTTTAGACAATGTCTTATTGCAAGTCGCATTAAATTGGGGCGCCATCTGTCTTGACTTTTCAACTCTCCATCAATGCATCTCAGAACTGCAATGTTTTTGTGTTGACAGATGCCTAGCGCATTTACATTATGCGTTCGAATGAAGTTGTCACAACGTCAAATCGTCGAATGCTAGAAACACGTGTTCGAAATAAACAATTGCCACGACCAGGCAAACTAGAACGTCGCGCGTGGTAAAGATGGATTTAAAAAAGATCATAAAATCATGTTTGAAGTATTCATTAACCGTCATTCTAATCCACATAAAAATCATTATAATCATAATTTGTTGGTCTTGTCTTTGAATAACACGTGTTTTCTTTTTAGGAGCAATTTCCGGATACAGGTGCACCAAAATCTGGGGTCACTCTCACCTCTGTGTTAGCGCCGCAGCCGGCTATTATTTGAAGTGGTACAAATATGGACTGAGCCACAAGCACTGCAAATACTGCATTGGAGGACGCCCATGGGGATATCTCTGCAGTCACTGCGGTATGTTTGATTAACATCATTGATTCGTTTGATTAATTATTGATTAGAATCGCTCGGAATCATCGACTCAAATGATAGATTTGTCTGTTCATTGTTTGATTCATTGATCGCTCGTGGATTAGTTGTTGATTAGGTTGATTCCAGATTGATTTGATACGCTCGGAATCATCGACTCAAATGATACATTTGTCTGTTCATTGTTTGATCCATTGATCGCTCGTGGATTAGTTGTTGATTAGCTTGATTCCAGATTGATTAGAATCGCTCGGAATCATCGACACAATTGATACATCTGTCTGTTCATTGTTTGATCCATTGATCGCTTGTGGATTAGTCATTGATTGGATTGATTCCTGAATGATTTTATACGCTCGGAATCATTTATTCGAATGATTTTTTCTGTTCATTTTTTGATTGATTGATCGCTCATAGATTATAGTTATTGACCAGCTTGCCTGTTGATTGATTAGAATCACTCTGAATCGTCGACTCAATTGATAGATTCTGGTTTTGATAACTCGACTGATAGATTTACTTGATGGTAAATTAGAGTCACAAGAATCACTGATCCGGCTGATTTTTCAATCTATAATTGATTGTTTGATTGATCGCCTAGATCGCTTGCCTCTTAACTTGACTGAAAGGTTGATTGACTCGATCGCTAATCATGTAGAATCGCTAAGAATCATTCAATCGAGTTGATCTTTTGTACCAGCAGATGATTACGAACATCAAGTAACTTTTTGTCATAAGAACAAAATATGAACAGTTTTTCTTTTCCTAGGAATCTCTGGACCAAGAGGACCCCCAGGACCAAGAGGACCACGTGGACCAAGAGGATTTCCCGGCAGAAAGGGACAAAAAGGACAACGAGGACCAAGAGGACCACAAGGCCCTAGGGGTCCAAGAGGCCCGAGAGGACCAAGGTAAAGAAGTCTATTGTCATTGCCCCAATTCCTTGATTGGACGTGTACGAAATCACAAAGCTTTCATAAAGTTCTAAGTAGCTAAAGATAGGTATTAAACAGGGACAGACATATAAAAGACTATATTTTGCCAATGAAGCACTAATCATCAAAAATATTTCTTTGTTAGTTTCTTAAAAAGCTAAACTATCAATTCCAGCCTTAGCCTAAGACTTGACAAAAGCATTTCCAGCATTTACACTGTCTGCTGAAGGATAATTTTAATTCATTTAATTTCTTATACCATCGTTGTATTCACACCAAACTTACGCCTTGCAGAGGCCCACGTGGACCAAGAGGATTCCGTGGACCACGAGGATTCCCTGGACAAAAAGGACAAAAAGGAATGAAGGGAAAGACAGGCGCAAGAGGTCCAAGAGGGCCGAGAGGACCAAGAGGTTTTAGAGGACCACCTGGTCCCCGAGGACCACGTGGATTGAAAGGAATGAAAGGACAAAAGGGAATGAAAGGAAATACTGGACCACGTGGACCAAGAGGATTCCGTGGCCCTAGGGGACCACGAGGGCCAAGAGGATTCCGTGGCCTACGAGGACCAAGGGGATACCCAGGACGACCAGGCGCCAAGGGACAAAAGGGTTAGTGTCATTTCACGCCAATTCACTGTCTATTTTTATCTAAAATTTGATATTATCAAATAGCATTGTTTATACGAACAGTTTCAGTTTGATGGCTAATCAGGGATAATTCTAACGACAAAATTTTCTTTTGCAAGCACCAGATATGATGTACCGGCCTAAGATAGAGATTTTCTTGTCTTTCATTTTCTTAAAGCAAGCTTTAATGCAAAAAATCGCACCTTTGTTTAGACTGTTTTCCAAGACACATCATTGATGTTTACTTCGATATTTCATTGATGAGATCTGACCTTTTGTCTCTCATTTTTGTCTTTTGTTTTTTGATAAACCAAAAGCAGCTTACCAAAAGAATAACACTGACGCCTTCTTCTAACCTCTATCCAATTACCCCTTGTTTGAAAAAGTTTCTCAAGTTATTTTGGCTCTTAGGTCAAAAAGGAGCAAGAGGACCAAGGGGATTCAGTGGACCACGTGGACTAAGAGGACCAAGAGGACCACGCGGACCAAGAGGCTTCCCTGGCCGCCCAGGAGCACCCGGACAAAAAGGACAAAAGGGACAGAAGGTGTGTATTGTGTTTTTTCGACCTTTTGTATGCCTTGCCTGTGGTAGCATCATACTACTTTTTGCTTGACCTTTGCTGTTTGACCTTTTTAAACTTCTTGACCTTTTGACGGTCAAAATACTTTGTAATATTTGACTCTCTTTAATATCCACAGGGCGCTAGAGGACCAAGGGGACTACGAGGGCCACGTGGGCCAAGAGGACTAAGAGGACTCCGTGGACCAAGAGGACCACGTGGATTAAGAGGACCCAGAGGACCTCGCGGACCAAGAGGGCTACGAGGACCAAGAGGACCACGAGGACCCCGGGGACTTCGCGGACCAAGAGGACCACGAGGACCAAGAGGACTACAAGGACCACGGGGACTTCGCGGACCAAGAGGACCAAGAGGACCACGAGGACCACGAGGACCAAGAGTAAGTCACCCCTGTTGTTATCACGTATGTTTTTAGTCTTTAAATGAAATTCAATGATTCTCTTTACTTCAATTTTTGAACTTTGTTTTTAAAAGCTTTTCTTTGTTCTAACAGGGATTAAGAGGCCTGCGCGGACCAAGAGGTTTCCCAGGACAAAAGGGACAGAAGGGAATGAAAGGTGCACCAGGTCCCCGTGGACCAAGAGGATTCCGTGGACCAAGAGGACCAAGAGGTTTGAGAGGACCAAGAGGACCCCGTGGACCAAGAGGACCACGTGGCCTCAGAGGACCAAGAGGATTCCCTGGACAAAAAGGAATGAAGGGACAGAAGGGAGCGCCAGGACCAAGAGGACCAAGAGGTCCACGAGGTCCACGAGGATTCAGAGGCCCACGTGGATTGAGAGGACCAAGAGGACCAAGGGGACCAAGAGGTCTTCGTGGACCACGTGGTTTCACAGGACCAAGAGGACCAAGAGGGCCACGCGGAATTAGAGGACCAAGAGGACCACGAGGACTACGTGGACCAAGAGGACTACGCGGACCTAGAGGACCACGTGGACCTAGAGGTATGTTCCATTCCTGTTCTTTTCATTAATACCACTTGCAAATGTTTGGTATTTGGCTTTTTTCTACGAAACCAAATTCGAGCCTGCCATTTTTCTTGAAATACAGCGAAGAAAAAAGTTACGGTCCAAAGTGTGTTTGTGGCACTTTTCGGCACCAGTGCCACTCTGTTTGTGCCAAATAACTCAGAACAGAAAGGTGGTACCCCGTGCAAACCAAAGTCCTCAGTTACCCCACTTAATTTGGCACAGTTTGAGCCAATTCGGGTGTTTGTACCTCTTGTCACTTTTTTGCCCCGTTAGTTTGAAAATCGGACCAGAGAATAACGCCTAGCTTATAATACGAAGAGCAGATTAATACTTTTTTCTGAACCCTCGAAATTAAGCTGACAGTTAAATCTAACCTAATGCCATCTTTCTCCAGGATTCACAGGACCAGCCGGCCCACCCAGCAACTCAATCCTTGCCTGCACATTTGTATCATCAGCCGGATCTGTGGCAATTTGCCCGGTCGGTACTCAGGCTACTGGTTGCAGCTGCGGTAACGGATGTGCTTTTAAAGTTATTGGTGGAAGGAAATGCATCTGCCAATGTAAACACGGATACAAATACCCAACATACCACCGCACTACCGGAGCTGTATGCTGTCGTGTGCGCAACATTCCGGGTCCAATTTACCCCAAGAAGTATTAAACCGACCGGACAATTCTTAGACCGTATTCCTTTAAATTGAACTAACAATCCGGACTTTAAATTATTACATGCAGGCATGTTATTTATTTATTGTTGTATAAATTTAGCTTGAATTTGAAATTTCACAAATCTAATCTTTGTCTAACCAATTTGTTCTGTCGTTGTTGTTCTGGTCTTGCTAGGCCCATGGCTAGGCCGGGGAAATTTTGCATCATTCGGTTTGTAACTATCTAAACATGGCGTACTAAGAATACAGCATTACATGGAGTATTAGTGTTGCCATAATGTCGCAAAGAGACGGTTGAAAACCTGGAGTTTATTTGCATGGGATAAAACATAACAAGGATTACATTTCTCTGACGAATAGTATTTTGAGGCCTGAAAGTAGAGCTTAAAACCCTAAAGACATTAAAAAATAGAGCCCTGTGAAAAATGATAAGTTGATCGTGGAAATCTTATAGGTGAACGGCAACCCTTTATGCCCTACAACTTTCCCTGCAAAATTTCCTTTGCGAACCTTAACAAGGAAGCGAGCAACAAATTGCTCTCTTTACAAATACAAAATTTTTCATAGCAACAACTTTAGATTCGTTCTAAATGATGCAAATTTCGCTCTTCCTACATTACATGCGTGTCTTCCATAATATTTCGTTCCCTTCACCCTTAGTTTGTATTCTAATGACGTGTACTAATGTACTAATAAAGCTGTAGATGAAAAGATTGTTTCATTTCTTGAAATCTTTATGGGGTTTTTGAAAAAGTTGGGGCGGATGACTTGCGAACAAGGGACACACATGCCTCCACTTAGTCTAGATGAATTCGCTTGCAAAAGGGTTATTTTTGCAGAAAGCAAACATCGTTCTATTCCTAAAATTTTTTATCGAGAATACAAAAGCTGATCTAGCAACCAGGAAACACATTATTCCACACTCTTTCTCTAAGAATAGCAACTGATCATAAAGACAGACGTGTTTATAGATTGATAAATTTCCAAAGGAAGCCCATTGATGATGGTTACAAGGAACAATACACGTCTTTTTGTTTGAGGGGTCAGCCCTTTAAAATGGGTGTAACAACAACTGGGTTTGAGAAAGGTTTGAGACAGTTCTTTCGTTACCTTTGAGATAAGAGCTTTGTTGAAATGGTACTCTGCCAAATATTTTACGCTGGTTCTGCCTGAAGGTTAAGAACAACTATACTTATCTCAAAGACTAACTAAGAATAACCAGTTGTCCCACTAACTAAGAGATTTGCCTAACTGGGGCATTCCCTAAGTGGGACAGATGTCACATCGAGGCCTTTATATTTCGTGCTTGGGTGGTTCTGCATAAAATGACAGACGATTACAAAAAATTCTTCGCCCGAGTACTCATTTGTTAATTTGAATGCATGAAGACCTGTCAAGCTGCTTCTCACGGCGGTTATTCAAGCAAGTGGTATATTTATTGTTAAATATAAAAAACTGCTCGACGTACGAAGCTCGCAAATCTTTGTGCATAATTAATGAAATAGAAAAATTTCAGTATCAAATTTGATCACCTCTCATCTCTTTGAAAGCACTCAATGCCATCTCTTTGAAAGCGTTTATGAATCGACAATTTTTTAATAAGAAATGAAAGGAACCTAAGAAAATGTAAATCTTTAGATAAAATTAAAGAAAAAACGATGTTTACTAGAATTTTATTCCCATTTTAATTAAACAGAGTCGATTTCAACAGCTTTTCTACCGTGTCTCTGTATCACTTTATCTTCAGAGCATATCTAGGGACTTTGAAATTATCCTTTTCTTAAATTCATTATTCAATGCCAAAAGAAGAATATAAGCATTTATATTAACTGAAATTCCTTGCACGAATAGCAACGATAATCTTAAGCTTCTGTTAATATTAACGTTAAAAAATGGGATTAAGTATATTAAAAAAAGAAAATTTTCAGCTTCTTTCAAATACTTGAGGCGTATGACATTGATCATATCGTCTATTGTTATTTACTTGTGTCATTAATACACAAAAAGATGGCGGACGCTGAGGGAAACAGCGCAATATCCTGTTACTGAACTCGTTTGGCTTCCGAGAAACGCTCACAGCCAGCCATCAAAGAAAGTTCGTTTCGATTTCGCTGTTATTCACTGTCATTTTGCGGGTTTGTCGCCCTTTGTTGCGATTTAGGTCATCCCATGGTGCTACGACCTAGGCCCATCAATGAATTGTTCCCAATGAGCGACTTTGCGAGTCTCCAAGCGCCTTCAGGCCTCTCTGGTTCAATTTCTGGATCTATTTCATCACAGAGAAGTTATGGAGCCACAAGAGCAGGCCTTGATAACACGGAAACGAAGTTTTTTGTTCATTTGGTTGAAGCTGGAGATACGTTGCAAAGGATTGCAATTAAGTACGGCGTTTCGGTAGGTCAAGATTTACTGTTTTCAAATGCAAATCACATGTTTTTTCTCAAATCACAGTAATTTTAATCTCATTTCCGACATTAAAAACGTAATTTTCTAACTAGAGAAAGCTGAAACGCGTAGAATCTTTGAATAATTGATAATCGATTTGAAAAAAACGCTGTTTAATAATAGTTCTATTTGCGACGAAGATTTGCTAGGAAACTCTTTGCAATTTACTTTGAAAAATTCATGTCAAATGCCTCTTTAGCCAGAATTCAAAGAGATCAACGTGTCAATTGTGTTTTAAGCTACAATATGGACATCGAAACGTGTTAAATTTACACAAGTTTCCCACACCTCATCTTTGTTTTGATAAGAAAAAACTTGCAAATTGTGTCGAAACTTTGAATAATTTTTTACAGTGACGCACGAGTTTCATTTCCCATGGTTCATCAATATAATTTTTTTTCTTTTAAATAGTGTTTCTTTCAAATAATTTCTCTTTGTTCAGAGAATACAAATCCTTTGTTGTAATATAATAGGAATAAATATCCAAACATGGCTCATCAAGATTCTTAATGTGCTAATAGTTAGCAAACGAATTGCACGCTTTTTTTGTTATAAGGAACCACTTTATAAGGAACCTACAAGAGAAGGCCGAAATATTTAAAAAACTTATACTGCTAAAAACGAAATCCCTAAGGGACTTTACAATTTGAAAATTTTTTATAACTGCAAGCATCAAAAACTAAAAAGCTGGTTCCATTCATTTGCCTATCGTTTTTATAAGATGACATCACACTTCCCATTGTTTTAGAACAAAATACCACTGTTCTCTAAAGTATTGAGGGGGGGGCCATCGCCCCCCTTGCCCCCCAAGTGTCTGCCACTGCCCCTTTATCTATTAACTGTAAAGGCTTATTCAGTCAAAACAAATTAAGGAACTTTTGGTTCTACAATTTCATGATTTGAGGTCTACGAATAAGGAACTTTTGGAACTAGGCCTTGAGGTAGGTTCCTTATAAAAAAATCTCTAATAAGAAGCAGATTTCTAAGTAGCTATTAAAGAATTTTTATAAGAAAAGTTAACAATTTATAAGATACACTACAGGGAGGGGGGCTGCCCATTGTATTCCTTTTCATTCAGTACACTGTTATTTATAAAGGACATGCCCTACAGTTTGACAATTATTTAGAGGGGGACTCCAATTGATTTAAAAAAATACCCCTTGTCCTTAGAAGCCCCCACCCCACGGTTCCAACAGCCCTGGCTTGCAATATAGAAAATTGACTATGCATGTCCCACCATTGAATGAGCTCAATTTCTGGCACAATTTAAAGTCATTGTATTGAAATGTGATACCATTCATACCTTTGTATCATGAGTCAGGACAATGTCATGTGATTTTCGTTCAAAGTATCTTTTGACAATGTCTTTCACAAAAGCAAACATTTTCAAACACTGTCAAGCTTCCAACCCACAATCTTCAGGGTATCAAATATCAGAAATAATTTCCAAGAAAGCACTTTCACATTAAATGTTTTAAAGCATTATCATGATATCCTTAAATATGATGTTGTTTGTATCAATGCGCTGAGCATTTTTGAAGCAGCAAACTGGAGTTTCTTTTTTTGCTTTGATGAAGCCCTGTATGCCGGGGCGAAATATTAGCCTTTACTGATTTGCGTGTATTTATTGTTATTTATTCTCGACGTATTGCAGTGTTTCATATTTGCTGCATTTTTATCTACTTTTCACCGCATTTTTATCGACTTGGAGCCCTTTGAGCCTGCTACAGTGTCCCCCCAAGCTGTTTGTTTTAACTGCTGGTGTCATGTTGTTTCAGTGAGAGCACAAATTTCTGTTTTAACCACTGAGTCCCCTTTCTAAGGCATTATGTACAGAAGAACTGAATAAAAGTCATCATCAGGGAGTGTAGTGCTATCAAAATATCAAGGTGAGGGGTGGGGCTGTTCCACAAAACTCTGCAAAAAACAATAGCAATAAGGTAGGAATTTGTTATTTTTCATCATTGACAAGGCAGGGATCAGCTTCCTGCGCCCCCTAGCACTACACCCCTGGTCATGATGTCTTTAACCCAAGCATCAGTTTTCAACTTCTTTGTCAATTTTGATTTGATGTCCTCTTTACCCACAGATAGAAAAACTCAAAAGGTTTAACAAAATATGGTCAAATGAAAGCTTATTTTTATTGGAGAAATTGAAGATTCCTCTGGCTATGAAGCAGAAACAATGGGAAGATGATAGTGAAGACAGTGATGGTGATGATGATGATGATGAACAGAAAAGTGGAAAAATTGTAGATAAAAAGAGTTCAACTTTAAAAAAGAATAATAAAAAGGAACCAGAAAATGAAGAAAGAGAATCTGAAAAATCGAAAACGGACATGGAAAATGGTGTAGAGCCAAAATATGATAGTTGTCATGACTTTTTAAATATGATTGATAGCCGTATAAATAAGTGTAAGAAGGAATGGACAAAGATAAGGTAAGTTGTTACTTTTACATTTAGTTTAAATGAGCATTTATTATTGTTGTCATCAATCGAGCTTTGGGGGTTTGTTGCAAAAGGAGAAAGAGCTTTGTCGATGCCAGGGGTGTCATCCAGAAGCTCAAGAGGGGGGTTGTGTTTTGTATTTTGATAGGTAAGCAACACTGATTGAGCACAGGAATGCCGACAAAGGAGTGTGGCTTTGCTCTCGTTGGCCCTGGCAGTTATGTGCTGGGGACAGATTTTATGCCCAGCTTAGAATTTAGTGTCAATTAAAAAATATATGTATGTTTAAAATATTCGCTTTTTTGAAATTTTTATTTATAAACCTGACTGTATGTTTGTCCTTGCTACCCTCTTTTATCCCAGATCTAAAATATACAATCCACTATATTATGCCTCACCCAAGCTTTTCCGCATTTCAAGTTCATTTTGATTAAATTTTTCACGTTTCATTTCAGGAGCCATTCAGAAAACAGTTCCTTACCATTTGTCAGTTATGACAGCAACAATGCCAATAAATTGTCACCAACCAAAGGCGGATACCAAGAACTTAGCGAAAATACATAGTTATTTTGTTTTATTTGATTTGGGAATTCTAGAAAGCAACAGTTTTTAGGCTACATAATTTTTGCATTTCATATTGATTTTTATGTAAGGCAAAAAAATATATTTGAAAATTTTCCAAATGACGTTTTGCCATCTACGGCTGTTTCAAACATATGTAGCTGTAAGATGCATTTTAAAAGTAAGGGGAATAGAAAAAAGATCTTCTTGTTGCCTGCAAAAAGATACTTGACTTCTGTTTTTGAAAAATTGGGGGGGGGGGGTGAACCACTTGTGCCAGGATCCACGGGTCATATCAAGCACCATAACACATTTAAAAAAGTGAGGGTTCTAAAAAAAGCAAGAGTTGGGGTTAAAGCCAAATCATGAGAGACTTGACTGGTGGTTCGTTACTCAACTTTTTGCTATAGCCCCCAACCCCCCTTTTTGGATTGGGGGCTGAAAAGTTTTAGGGGCTTAATATAACAAGAGGCCTTACACCCTAAATCATGCTTCCAGAATTTTTTTTTGATCTTGGTCCCCTAGCCCCATGATTCTTTGGACACAATTATTTTTTGAGGTAACTATATTGTAGGCATTTTATTCCTCTTTAAAGTTTTAATCCACAGTTGTTTAGAATGTGTAACAATTTATCGTTCCTGTAATCTTAATGAGATTTAAATGATTTGATTTGTTGGAATTTGAAGTAGTTATAGTTTCCTACAAATAAAATGGATTTTTTTCTGATTGAGTTCTGTTTTATCCTGAAAACTGTGCACTCGCATATCAGAGCACTTGAAAATTATTTACATTTACTAGAAAAAATAGGATAAGTTAGTAAAATAAGTTAAAAATTAACGACTGCAATGGAAATTAAAACTGACACAAAGTCAATTTCTGACCCTGATTTTCTAGATAAAGAAGGTAGCATAGAAATTTGTCAAAAAAAATCCTGACAAAATAGAAAAGCCTCAAAAGTTTTCTGAAAATTGTTTTTTCTGGAAGGCTTTATCTTTGTTTCACGTCGATATCTGAAAAATGAGTTGTATATGACAGACCAAATAAGGAATTACGTTAGTTGAAAGATACCTGGTGTCTCCTTTGTTATTTTTGCTTGGGGCAAATCCAGGGATGGATTTAGCGGCGAGGATTAGGGGGGTGAGGATTTGGGGTGTTAGATAATAATTGGAGTCTATACCACGCTCTGCACATTTATGGAAAATGATGAGAGCGCCCACTTTTAAAATTTAGTTTTAAGATTTAAGATTAAAGAAAATAAATACATCTTTTAAAGCAACATTTTTTGCATTTTTACTTTATATTTGCTTGGTGTAAATCACCTTTGGCGAAGGTACTGTTATTTTATCTAAGAATTCCCCCGAAATCCATTTGTTTTTGTGGAAATCTCGTACGACGTTTGCAAGGAGTGAATTGCCCCTCTATCTTTGCAATTTTGCTAGAGGTTGGATATGTTATGCTAAAATCTTGACAAACTCAAAATATTTTTTACAATATAAAATTGATTAATTACACCTATACTGGTTAACTAATACTAAATTTACAATATCCAAGTTAATTTGGCTAAAAAACAATGAATGGTCAACCGGAAAATTAAACATTTTTAGGCTGATGAACACATGAAAAGAACTTGACAGTATTCATTCGCTTTCAAAGCAGGGTCAAAACTGTTCCGGATAGCAGAGCAAAATCGTCACGGTTCCACAGTGCTAGTGTAAACGGAAGAGCGAATCGCAACAGTTTTGTCACGGTTCCAAACTTGCACGGAACAGTGTAAACGGAATTTTAAGTTCGAAGGAGGTGCGAATTTTGCTACCCATTCTTGTATAACAATCACACCTAAAAATATTTTAAAGTTCAATCGAATTTTTTCCAATTGTTTTGCTTCTTTGATAATTTTCTGAGGCTTACATATTGAAAAAAAAACAATATAATTAAACCATGTTTTGTATTTGATTTTCACATTTCAATGACGTAATTAAAATAACCATGGCAACAGGAGATTCTAAAGGTGATTCAGGCTGCGTAGGAGTAGGAGCCTGGGACGAGAAACAAGTTCGAATCATGCCCAAGTGAAGAATCGACCCGAAGAATATTTTTATTGAAATTTGCAAGTTTGTTGCTGGACTTTTGGTGTCATAAAATGGAACTTAGAGTCATCCTTCTCTTACTTTATGCAGTTATAGACAGGATCAATGCTTTAGCAAGTGGTCAACGTAAGTATTTTGCTATTTAGTCGCTTGAAATCGCATGTGAAATAAAACTTTTGTCATCGATTGGCCTACTTACGTTTCTGTGCAAATTTTGAAAGCATGCGGAAATGAATTGTACAGCCCGATCGCTACAACTGTTATTTAATTCGATTGCCCAAATACTTTTGGATGTTCTCAAGATTTTATTTAATGGTGTCAAGAATCTGTTATACTCATTACTAAACAATTTGTACTTTACTTTTACCCCCGACTGCGAATTTCATCAATTTGGTTTTCTCAACAAATCCGTCATAAATTCTTTGCAACGATTCCTCTTGGAAATGAACCAAAAAGTTTTGTTGTGGTTTAAAATCCTTTCCAGATTTCTCTCAAAAGACTAAGATCTGGAATATATGGTTTTGAAATATGTGTGACATATTTTAGAAGGCGGGTTTTAAGTTGTTGGAATGAAAAAACAAACTCGATCAGAAATAGTCCGTTTCGAAAGTAATCAATTTTATAAATCACTTTCGGCCAATTAAGAATATCGCTTCGATTTGAACATGGCATCATAAACCATCCACAAAGGCTAACTACTAAAATGTTTTATTTTCTTAATGGCCGAGAAATCGTGTACCTGACTTGTTTTGTCGACGCCAAGTACAAAAATTTGCAAGATCTACAATAACTCCTGCGATTATATTTCATGCAAATATAGTTTTGCGGATTATAAGATATTTACGATCAAATTTTCCGTTTGTATAGTTTTTTCTGGATCTTCAATCTTCAATCGTTAACTCCTAAAGGCTTTACAACCAATCTGGAGCATTTACTTAAGGAGCATTAAAAAAAGGAAAATTAACTCAGAAGTAGGATTAATACCATTTCCACCCAGCGCTCCAGTTTGTTGATTTCTACAAAATGTATTAGGTTTTGTCCGCCAGTTCCCATACAGAGCAGTATTATTTACAAACATGATAATTGTTGGCTTGCAAACATAACCAAGGAATGGTCCCCTACAAGTAAATTTATATTTTCTTAAGTAAAGACAATCAAAATAGAATATGTTTGCTAATTTGTTAATTGGAATAAAGTTCACAGTGTCCAGAAATGCGTTATACCTCTCTAGGACAATTTCCCTAGGCTTGATGATTTTCAATGATTGCAATGCATAAAGTTTTGCATAAAAATGAATTAATTAGGTACCTACTTACAAATTATCTGTCCCCTTCCCCTCAAATCAAATCATCTGCTCCCCCTCAACCAATGTTGAAATCCTCATTTATTCTATAACCATCTCAACCATCATTCAACCTTACGTTTGTATGAAACACACCTTGAGAAAACTTTCCTCATTAAACAGGACAGGGTTCAAACATAGTATTAAGTTACTTATTCTTCCATAATTGCCCTCTTTACCCCTTTCAATTTGATGAAGCCCATGTTTGTCAGGCTGTGGGAGTTTATTATTCAGAGAGCTTTCATTGTTTTTTGGAGAATTGGAAAGAGAAAGACTTTCTCAAATTATCTTGATTATGATGTCTCTAGGGCCCAGTGGCAGACACTTGGGGGGCGAGGGGGGGCGACCGCCCCCCCAATACTTTAGAGGAAAATGGTATTTTGTTCTAAAACAATGGGAAATGTGACATCATCTTATTAAAACAATAGGCTTGCCCCCCCAATATTCGATCAAGTGTCCGCCCCTGCTAGGGCCCTTTATCCTTTCACAAGTGAACATCAACTCCTTGTTTGATTTTTAAATTAAAGAATAGTCAAATGGAACTTTGATATCAGTTCCTTGTAGACTTTATTCTTTTCTCTGACCTTTAAATAATTAATGATCTTAAAACCAAAAGTATTCTGGTAATTTCTTCTTCATTCTTTTATGATCCATTGTCTGACAATAACACAGCTTGATATTTAAATTACGTGTATTAGATAGCCAATGAATCGCAGAATGCTTTATCATGTTAGATAGTGTTTGTGTCCAAAAAAGTTTTAGTGATTTAACTAAATTATCATTTTTCAATTCGAGGAAGCAATTTTTTGTTGCAAGAAAGAATTTGTCATGAGAAAACATTCTGAAATCATACTTATCATCTGTCCAATGAACAAAAACTCTTGATACTTTCTTACGTACAAATTGAAAGCTAGGTCTGTTTTGGCCCTGGTACTTGATATCATTTTGTTCCTAATGGTTACTGGCTTGTGTCCCACTTTTCTAGACTGGGAATGTTTTAGAAATATTGCACAGTGTTCTTGATTTTTGATAACAAAATCATAACTTCAAAGCACACTCCCTGGTTGGAAAACTTGCATATATGCTCACAGGGATGCTGGACTTCTTGTGCTCAGACTTTGGACCTTTAGTGACAATGAGTACTATAGTTAATGTATATATGGGCATATGGGCATCATTGCACGCAGCTCAAATGGTTCGGCTCGCAGGTGGCAGTTGATAATATGCCATTGGTCGCATTGACACGTCAGCAAAATCATACATGTTTTCCAACCTGGGCTCACTCACCAACTATCTTAGAAGGCACTGTTATATAGATTTGCCTACTAGTGAAGAATTATATTAACTATTCCTAATTTTGTTTCAGGAAATCAACTCAACAAATACATAAAACATTTTGAAGAACTCAACTATGACAAAAATGATCTGATTACCAGGCATTTACGCGCCAAAAGATCAGTCTCACCAGATTATTTATTGCATCTTAATTTTCATTCCCATGGAAGGTAAGTTTGTTTAAATGTTTCTCTCTGTAGAATGTAGTTTAAGGCATTGAGTCATTTCTAAATAGGCTTTCATTGCATAGGACAAATTGATTTCAGTATAATCATTGTTTGCAACAACTAAACCACATTTGCTCCTGTATTTGTTTCTAACAAGCCCTGAAGGAAAGAGATGCTTAGAGGCTTTGCTTATCACGCAGTGTCTTGCTCCTTCATCTCAATTTGATCACACCTCCTGATTCCTATGCCTGGATTTACAGGGAGCTGGAGACTCCCCTTACTCTAAGCAAAATTTTGGTAGTATCTGGGACGCAAACTCAAGACTCTTGGATCTGTAGTCAGCGACTCTTACCGCTAAGTAAGTGATAACACCTTGTGATTCGGATGTCTGGAATTAAAGAGAGCTGGCAAATCTCCTCACTCAGAGTGGAATTTTGGTGATGCCAGGGGCAACAAACCCAAGACCCTTGGATCTGAAGTCATAAACTATAGCAACTGAGGATTTGACCACAAGTCCTTATTTCTACACCTAAAATTGCAGAGAGCTGAAAACCCTTCTAACCCAAAAAAGTTATAGTCATTACGGGGACCCTGATCCCAGTCCTATGGATCTGTTGTCTGTGATCCTTACTACTGTGATTGATTACTACCGTGGCCACAGCCTATGATTCTTGTACCTGGAATTATAGATAGCTGGCAGTTCTCCTCACCCCAAGAGAAAGTTTATTCATGGAAGAGAATGGAGCCCCAGTCCCATCTAACTTCAGAATGCATCCTAACTATCAAGTAATTCTCATCCTAACTAATGTTTATTCTCAAGGTTGAAGTAATTGTTTGTTTTCTTTTCCTTTCAGATATTTCCCAATTCGTTTGAAACGAGATATAACAATATTTTCAGCTGATTTCACTGTTCCTGATGGTAACCATCAATTTTACCCTTCAAACATTTACGAAGGATGGTTGGAAGGTATGAATTTTTCTTACTCTTAGGCTAAGTTTAATCAAATAAGTATTTTACAAATATGGCTTTAGAATGTATCACATGTCGGTTGGTTCTATATGTACTATTTATGTGTTAGGCATATTGGCTATTATGAACTACTGTTCCCCAGTCTGCCACAAACTGCTCAAAGGCAGTCTGTCCTTTCGATGATTGGCTATGCTGCTCGCTTTGGCTGGCCTAGCTGCGGTAGTGGACAACATTTGAAACTGCGATCAAAAGGCTATCGGAAATGGCAAGAAGATTTCATTACTGGAATTGAATGATAATAATGGAAGCATTTTTTGGCTGTTGACATATTTGTCACACAAACCAAACAGGGAACATAATTTTTCTAGCCACAGCTTCACTACAATGGAAACACAGCCATTTAATTTGAAAACTCTTGAATCAAAGTTGTCTCTGATTGGTTTAAATCCATGGTGCATGAATTCACTGCAGTGAAAATAAAAGTTGAGCACAATAGGGGACAGACTGCCTTTAAATGCCTTTTAGGTCTACCTGTAGCTAGAGGCTGCGAATTGTAGAACAGAACACAAGTTTTTTAATGGAGATAACTGTTGGCTGGTCTGTTTCAGTATAGAAAGAGTTCTTTATACTGTGGTGTGAAGAACAGGGTGCCTCTCAGTTGTCACATTGAGTTCAATCACCATGCATGCTTAGTTCAAAAATAATTTTTATTTGTGTATTTGTGTGCTAAAGGCAGTATGTTATGCTGTTCATTGGCTATTGTTTAGAGAAGCATAACAAATTATTATAACTGATCAATATAGCAACTAGGAGACCTCCTTTACTATGAAGTTAAATCTCACTGAAAAGAGAAATTTAATTCTTTGTTTTGGTAAGCCAGTAAACAGAGCAACACACTGCGTTTAAGCACTGCTTTCTCTTTTGAAATTGAAAGGAACCAATCAAATGATGACCAAGCCAAGCGCAGTCCTGATTGGTTGAGTGTATCAAGCAAGTAATAAGAAACCAAGCAAATAATAAGTTTTGTCTGATTGGTTAGCATAGACCTGTCAATCAGAGCTAGCAAGTGTGGATGAGAGATTTATTCTTCTGTTTGCACTAAAAGACCAATATCTCTGCCCTTTCCAAATATTTATTTGGTAGCAAATCAGCATGTATCAGTTTGCTTTTCTTGAATTTGCAGGTGAATTCGGATCCAAAGTTAACGGATTTATTCATGATAACATTTTTGAAGGAAAGATTTACACAGCCAGTGGTAAGGAATTTCATATTGAGCCTGCCTGGAAGTACCTGAATTCCACGAAATCTCACTCTGTGATTTACAGTGTGGATGATATACATTATCCACATCCACATGGAGCCAGTTGTGGGATCAAAAAGGAACTGAAGGACTGGATGAAAGGTATTCAAACCTCAGCTCTTGAAAACCAGGAGAAAGATGACAAAGATATCAAGTTTCATAAATCAGATGACACAATAAAACAGAGGTCAAGAAGAGCTACAGTAGCCAAAACTAGCTGCCATCTTTATGTTCAAGTAAGTTTGGTTTGTTATTGCAGAGTCTCTACAGTTTTTTTATTTATACATGCATTGGAAAGGACCCTGTTTCTTCAGACATGTCATGTGTTCATGTCAGCAACAGCCTCTGCAGCACATTTGCTTTTGAGAAATATATTTGCAATGTGATGATGTCATAAGGGCCAATGTTTAAAGTTGTTCAGTGCTGACCATGATGATCTTTAAGTATGCAAAGTTGGTTAAATCTGTTACAAATTTCATGAAAATTGGCCAATGAATGTTTGAAAATTTCTTAGCGGATTACTGTTGTTTTTGATTAGTTCATTTGTTTTAGAACCATTACCAAATTGAAAAGATTCGGCCTGTGCAGATCTACCTGGTTTTGCACATTGTCCTTTCAGGATAAATTTTCAAGATCCAAAAATCCAAAAACAGATTTTTATGACCTTATCGATTTGCCACTTTGTCATTCAGATATGGTCCTGTATTGCTATTTAGAAATCATAACAATAGCTTTTTGTATAAACTGACCAATAGGATTTTAGTTCGCCACTGAAATTTTGTGAGACATTGCTCCTTTTAAACGTGATGACATTTATGGGTTTTTAAGAAGTCACAAAGAATCAAATTCAATGTTTGTGACATTTGAATATATTGACTCAAATACATTGTTTGTGACATTTGAGTTATTGGTCAAATGACGCATCAATGAACAATGGATCTAGTTACCATGTTTGTTTTATGATTAGTATCATTCAGATCTTTAGTGATTTTCATGTTTGATTCACGATTCGTTTTACTCAGATTATTAGTGATTGCCATGTTTTTTGTGATTCAAATCATAAAAATCATTAATGATTGCCATGTTTGATTCATGATTCATATCACAAAAATCATTAGTGATTGCCATGTTTTTTGTGATTCAAATCATAAAAATCATTAGTGATTGCCATGTTTGATTCATGATTGGTATCACAAAAATCATTAGTGATTGCCATGTTTTTTGTGATTCAAATCATAAAAATCATTAGTGATTGCCATGTTTGATTCATGATTGGTATCACAAAAATCATTAGTGATTGCCATGTTTTTTGTGATTCAAATCATAAAAATCATTAGTGATTGCCATGTTTGATTCATGATTGGTATCACAAAAATCATTAGTGATTGCCATGTTTTTTGTGATTCAAATCATAAAAATCATTAGTGATTGCCATGTTTGATTCATGATTGGTATCACAAAAATCATTAGTGATTGCCATGTTTTTTGTGATTCAAATCATAAAAATCATTAGTGATTGCCATGTTTGATTCATGATTGGTATCACAAAAATCATTAGTGATTGCCATGTTTTTTGTGATTCAAATCATAAAAATCATTAGTGATTGCCATGTTTGATTTGTGCTTGTATAACTCGTTTTTTCTTGATTAATGAGTGATTCCTTCCTTTTCTTCAGGCTGATTGGCTTTTCACTGACAAATTTGCCAAGACAACTGAACGAGCCTTCTACTTAATGACACAATATGTGCAAAGCGTCAACTCAATTTACAATGCTACTGCTTTCACAGGCTATCCCCATCGTCAGTATTTATGAAGTTCATATTTTATTACTATTTCATTCTACTTTTATTTTTATTTGTTGTCTAAGAAAGTAAATCCCTTAGAATCTTGAGTGGAAAAATTGTTCTGACCCAGAGAAACCTTAATGTTATTAGTAATGAAGTGGTTGTATTCACAAATGCGCGGGATTCCTGCAGGCTATACGCGGGATTAATTAATCTGACCCACTTGCTTGCCCAGAAGTATGTGCTATCTTTCTGTGTTCTTTATCGTTTTACCGCACTAGTCCCACGTTATCGTGCAACTATCGTGTCTTTGTTGCGTTAAGTTATGCCCCAATCGCTTCCTTAGTCGCTTCCTTGTCGCTTTATTCTACGTTGCCTTATTGGTATTTTATCATTCTATAAATAATCGCATCCTTATCGTGTGATTTTTTGAGATAATCGTGCTCTGTCCCTGTTGTCTTCTTAATATAAAGTTATAATGTAATTATCGCAACCTTGCCGTGTAATTATCTCAGATAATCGTTGCTTGTTGCTGTTACCTTCTTAGCAAAACATTTTCGTGCGATTATCATTTGCTTCTCGTGTCGTATCTTGTAGGTGTCACACTTAAAATATCACGGATGAAAGCACAAACTGAAGTGGAATGTAATGCGGACGCAAACTGCAAATTCAAGGACGCGAATATCGGCGTTGCGAAGTTCTTGGAGCTCAATTCCGAAACCGACCATGACAAACACTGCCTTGCTTATGTTTTCACATATAGGGATTTTGCTGATGGCGTGCTTGGCCTTGCTTGGATTGGAGAAGCTTGTAAGTGAGGCATTTTGTTTAAATGGCCTTCTGATTTAGGCCCATTTGTCATGTTTGTCGCAGCTTATTTTTACGCTTTAGCTTACGGGGTTGGTTACGTGATTATTTTTATGTGAATTAGATGAGCTTTGAATAATATTGCTTTAAGATGATCATTGGTGAGTATTCTGTTCTCATTAGAAGTGAACCCCGTTATTACCGTTCAGTCAGTCTCACTACGTCTCAGTTAATCCCATTAATGCCTATAATTTCTGACTTATTGACATTTCGAGAAGTTTACTGAACATAAGGGGATTTGTTAACGAAACACAAAAACGTAACACGTGGAGGTCCTATTTCTATGAATCTTTGTAAAATAAACAGGAAATAGTTGGTATCTCAACTGTCATACTCGGGGGTCATGGAGAATTACATAGATTGGGGGGCCTAAACAATTCCCGGGAAGTTAAATATACTAGAAGTAAAAAACATGATGATTTTTGTATGGTTTTGAGAACACTTTGGGTCATTGTTGTGGGCTTAATCCAAGTTTTGGGACATGGTTGTCGAAAATAATCGTGTTCAACCCATTTTTGCAAGAAGTATTTTCGAAAAGGTGCTTAAAGACTCATTGCTTACAATGAGCCATTGTGCTTCGCAAGCATCCCATAATGCATTTTTAGACAGTCTGAATTCAATTTACTACCATTGTTTGGATCGTCGCCACGCTCGCAAAGGCCCATTGTTAGCAATGAGTCTTTAAAGTTGAAGATAATCAACTGTATGGGCTCTACATTGGTTTCTTTCATGTGACTCTTTCGTGTGAATAATGAGTGCAAGAACCAAAAAGTGGCTTTGCTCAACACAATCCAGTTTTTATAATGTTTTCTTTTTTCAGCTGGTGCATCTGGTGGTGTATGTGAACGTTGGAAGCCCTACAGTGGCGGCAAGTACAAAAGCTTGAACACCGGAGTTGTCACCACTTTGAATTACCAGCAAGATGTGCCATTGAAAGTGACAGAAATCACGTTGGCTCATGAGATCGGACATAATTTTGGTGCGCAGGTACAATGAACTTTGTTTTCTTTTTATTTCTTTATTTCTTTCATTTTTCATGTTGCTTCGTATCTTATTTTTTCCACCTTTTAATAAGGGATTTTTAAGCTTCCAACAAAAACGCTGTTGGTGGCCTTCGCGTTCACGAATCCTCAAAAAATTGGCGTCATTATGAATAAAATTAAATAAAAGCAAATCGTGAAAAACTTGTAACAGCTACCAGTCCATTGTGAATTCTCAATTTCAAAATTTTTGAGATTTGGTGTGCTACAAAGCACGTATTTTGTTGCCGATGTTAGCGTATTCAAATGTCTCCGTTTTTGGTGTTCACACTGAAAACGGAACGTATTCAATACGCACTGTATTCGAAAGTATCCGTTTTCATTAGCGTTTTCAAACGACTCCGTTTTCATAGCAGAGTAGTGTGAACGCAAGGCAAAAACGCATTAGTTTGACTCCGTTTTTCATTTGAAAACGGAGTAGTGTGAACAGGCCCTCAGATTACCGGCAATGAGCTTTCTAACTTCCATCGTTTAGACCAACTGGCAGACAAGAATGTACATTCCCACCTTTGTGTGTAGTGGTAAATGTTTTCTTTAGCCATATTTTATGCTCGAGACATATGACATAAATTAATTTGTTATTGTTTGATATCTGGGTTGAAAACACATTATTGTGTGGCAGATCAGGTGAGTTTAGTGCCCCCTCGTCTCTTTCTCCCTGGTATTTTCCCAACTTCTGTTGACACAGTTCCATTGACACTTCAACCATGTGACCTTTCTAATGTTCCTTGTCTCGTTTTCAGCACGATCCAGTCTCGAATTCGCCGCAGTGTTCTCCAGGCTCTGCTGGTGGCGGCAACTTTATCATGTATCCAAGGGCAACATCTGGAAGTGACAGCAACAACTACAAATTCTCAAAATGCAGCAGAGACTACATCGGACCTGTACTTAACGCAAAAGCTGACATATGCTTCAAAGGTACGTTTATCGAGTTTCTTTGTTTCTTTGAAGCCATGTAAGGCATGAATGGCCAATCAGATCCCTTGTTTCGGTGAAACCATATTGTGCTCTTCGCGATTATCCAATCAGACACTTTATTGCTTTGAAGTGATATTGAACACTATGCGATTGGCCTATTAGATCCTTTGTTTCTTTGAAAACATATTGAGCCCTGTGCAATTAGCCAATCAGATCCCTTGTTACTTTGAAGCCATATTGAGCTCTTCGCGATTGGCCAGTCAGACCTCTTGTTGGTTTGAAACCATATTGAGCACTGCGCAATTGGCCAATCAGTTGCTTTTGCCTCTTGCGCAATTGGAAGCCATTGTACAGTGCATTGTTATTGACCAATCATGTTTGTTGCAGCTTTATTAAGAGTGTTGTTTTCCAATCATTCGTGTTCTTATTTGGAAGCCAAGTGATGTTTGTCGTTTTCTTCTAGAACCTTCTGGGCCTATATGCGGTAACAAGTTTGTTGAGGAGGGCGAACAATGTGATTGTGGTTATGAAGATGACTGCAAAAATGAAAGATGCTGCAACAAATACGACCCAAAATCGTCAAATAATTGCAAGTACAACCCCGCCAACGTCCCTGCTACAAATGCATGCAGGTCAGTATCTTTTATTTGATTAGTAGCATTAGTCCAGTCACATAGCCAATCGCTAATCACTCCATGTTAGGATGGACTCTTCTAGATCCAATCGCTCAATCATTCCATGTAAGCGTCGTCTCTTCTTCATCTAATCACTTAATCGCTCCATGTCATTTATGACTCTTTTTTATCCAATCATTGAATCACTCTGTCTTAGCACCGACTCTTCTGCATTAAATCACCCTGCGTAAGCGTTGAATCACGCCTACAATTCCATCTAATCATATTGATCACTTATGCAGTTATTTTAACTAACCATTTAATCACTTCGCATCATCCAGGCACGAACATTATTGTAACTCAGGACCGTCCTATTGCAACTTAGGACCGTCTTATTGCAACCAAGGACCGTCTTATTGCAACTTAGGACCGTCTTATTGCAACTTAGGGCCGTCCTATTGCAACTTAGGACCGTCCTATTGCAACTTAGGATCGTCCGATTGCAACTAAGGACCGTCCGATTGCAACTTAGGACCGTCTTATTGCAACTTAGGGCCGTCCTATTGCAACTTAGGACCGTCCTATTGCAACTTAGGGCCGTCCTATTGCAACTTAGGATCGTCCGATTGCAACTAAGGACCGTCCGATTGCAACTTAGGACCGTCCTATTGCAACTTAGGACCATCCGATTGCAACTTAGGACCGTCTTATTGCAACTTAGGACCTTCCTATTGCAACTTAGGACCGTCCTATTACAACTTAGGACCGTCCTATTGCAACTTAGGACCGTCCGATTGCAACTTAGGACCGTCTTATTGCAACTTAGGATCGTCCTATTAGGACAGACTTAGGACCATTCATCAAAACGTGTATAGCTCTCCTTATGGCATCGAGCTGTTTGTTATTGTAATTACAATATATTTTTAATGATTTTATTGTTCCTGTGCTTGCAGTACCTCGGAAGGGCCGTGTTGTGATGCCAGTACCTGCAGTTACAACACTTCTATTGGACAAAACTGCAGTTTAGACACTGAATGCGCTCGAAAAGCAGCTTGCGAGTATCTTTTTCACCTTAATATGAACGACACCACTTTATATTATCAGCTTGACCTTAATATCCACTTCGCCACCTTATATTAGCGATTTAGCCTTAATATCCACTTCGCCACCTTATATTATCAGCTTGACCTTAATATCCACTTTGCCACCTTATGTTAGCGATTTAGCCTTGATATTCGCTACACCACCTTATATTTTCAGCTTGACCTTAATATCCACTTCGCCACCTTATATTAGCGATTTAGCCTTAATATCCACTTCGCCACCTTATATTATCAGCTTGACCTTAATATCCACTTCGCCACCTTATGTTAGCGATTTAGCCTTGATATTCGCTACGCCACCTTAGTTTAACAGTAGAACCTTAATCATAGAATCGTTAAAATGGAACTTCAAGTTTGGAGAGGAATGGAAAGAGGGGAGAGGAAAGAGGAAAGAGAGAAGAGATAAAGAGGGAAGCGGGAAGCGGGAGGCGGGAAGCGGGAATTGGGAAGTGGGAAATGAGAAGAGGGAAGATTGGAAAATGAAAGATGGAGAAGGGAAGATGGAGGGGAGAATGGTGGGAAGTGAAGGGAGGGGAGAAAGGAGGAAGAAGGGGAGACGAGAGGAAGTGGAGAGGTGAGGATAAAGAGGGGAGAGGAGAGATAGAAGAGAGGAAATAGAAGAGGAGCGATAAAAAAGGAGAGGTTGGAAAGATAAGTCTTGTTGGTATCTTTAAAATGTATCTGTTTATCATCGACTCTTTCAATATTTGAGTTTCTATGCAACTTTCCTTGACTTTTAAAAGTGGTTCTTCTCCAAAGTGCCCTTCTCCGCCGCCAAAGCCAGACATAGTTACAACCTGTCAGAAAGGAGCCAAAGTTTGTTTGGGTGGGGTGAGTACGAGGTTTACGAATTGCGGAAACGAGGTTCTTATTATGTAAAAGGCCTTAAAAGAGTTGTAGTAGCAATATGCAAAGCGAGGCTGTAAAGCGAAGTTAACGAAATGAAATTTCAGGCCAAAAACCAATTCAGGCCAACTCTGAAATGGACCAAAAATCTGTTGCCTTTATTCAGAACAACAAAGCTCGAATTCTTAAATGTTACTTCACAAAGGATATATTTTTAGACTTTTTTCAATTTTGACATCATAACCTAATAAGCTTGCCTTGAATATGCTATATCTTTTAAATTTGTCAAGAATCAGGTGAGTTATGATCAGTGGCGAACACCTGGGGGGCGAAGGGGTGCTCTATTTTGGAAGACAATTGTCTTTTGTTCTTATTTGGAGACATGACGTCATCTTATCAAAATAATAGGCTCCTTCACACCCCTCCCCCCCCCCCAAAAAAAATTTCACCAAGAAATTTACTAACGGGTTGCTGTTTTTTGGCCTGGAATTTAAAGTTATGAGCAGAAACGAAATTACAGAGGTTTGATGGGGCCAGAGCGTGTGATCATCTGGTCATATCTCAGCCAATTCGTAACACACGTGACTGATTTGGCACATCCTGAGGTATTTCACACTGCTATTCAGGGTTATGTGATCTGAATTCAAAAATTCTTATTATTATTTAAAATTCTAACTCAATACCTTGGCAACTCTAGCTATTATTGGCTTTGCTGTGTTTTTCGTAGATGTGCAACGGATCAATCTGTCTGAAATCAAATGAAACGGAGTGTATGTGCACCGCAAAAGAGGCCTATTGTGACATTTGTTGCATGATGGGAAATGATAAATCCACCTGTAAAAGCAAGACAGAGCTCAAAAGTGGAAAGACAGTCGTCCTAAAAATGGCCCCTGGTAGGTTGGGCTTTTTAAAAGCCTTTTTCATAATGAAGCGTGACCACTTCCATGAGTTTTTGAGAGGTTCGGTTCAACAACCTTATCCAGTTTATCTACTGTAAGTCCTTGAATGGGACTTATTTCGCAAAAAGTATTTTGAGTGAGGGATTACATTAGAGGGGGGCTGGGTATTTTAGGTATTTGGGACGAACATTCCAAGGCAATGTTAGAATTGTCATATCCTATTAATAATTAGGAATAAAAAAACATAGTTTTGGATGACAAGGTCAGAAGGTCAATAGGTCATAGATTAAGATTAAGACACAGATTCAAATGTCACGGGCAAAGAAGACCCGTGTTGAGTTACATGAACCATCAAGGCAATGTTGAAATAGTCATATCCTATCAAAGTTTGGTATCAAAGAAAACATAGTTTTGGATGACAAGGTCAGGAGGTCAATAGGTCATAGATTAAGATTAAGACACAGATTCAAATGTCACGGGCAAAGAAGACCCGTGTTGAGTTACATGAACCATCAAGGCAATGTTGAAATAGTCACATCCTATCAAAGTTTGGAATCAAAGAAAACATAGTTTTGGATGACAAGGTCAGGAGGTCAATAGGTCATAGATTAAGATTAAGACACAGATTCAAATGTCACGGGCAAAGAAGACCCGTGTTGGGTTAGATGAACCATCAAGGCAATGTTGAAATAGTCATATCCTATCAAAGTTTGGTATCAAAGAAAACATAGTTTTGGATGACAAGGTCAATAGGTCATAGATCATAGATCAAGATAACGGTCATTCTAAACTGCTTTCGTTAGTTTTAGGCCTACCTGACACAAACCACCATCTAACAATTTGGCCCTGTATCCAGTAACGGCGCCAGCTATTATAGAGTGGGAGCGTAATGGGCGCGGCCAGTGGGACCACCCCCTTTTGCCTCGTTTTAGTGATATGTACCTAGTTAACTTTCCTTAGGAAATTTTATCTACCCCTACCCAGCGTTGTTTAATCCATTTTTAGAAGAAATATGTCGACCATATTTTCAGAAAAGTGGGGGGGGGGTAATTACCACCCCCCATACCACCCCTTGGTGCCGCCACTGCCTGTATCAACACATTTTTATGCCAACATTGATCATATAAATCGGCATGTCTCTATATCCAGTAATTAAGAGAATCCCTCAGTTTGCTGATTAGCACTCTTTTGTCACTTCTAGGTTCACCATGTGACAACTATCTCGGGTACTGCGACATCTTTGATAAATGCAGAAAGGTGGATGCCGAAGGTCCACTCTCTCGATTGAAGAACTTCATATTCAGCAAACAAGCGATCGATTCTATCTACACGTGGATGAAAGAGCGCTGGTGGGCCTGTGTTCTTATTGGCCTTGGCTTGATTTTGTTCATGGCTTGTAAGTATTACTTTTTTCTAAGAATTTGGATATCAGTAATGTATCATTAATTCTTTACTTCCTCCCTCTTTTTCCCCTCCCCTCTCATTTCTTCCTTTCCTTCTTTTCTTTCTCCCTCCCCTCTCTTCCCTTCCCTTCCCTTTCCTTTCCTTTCCTTCCCTTCCCTTCCCTTCCCTTCCCTTCCCTTCCTTTCCCTTCCCTTCCCTTCCCTTCCCTTCATCCTTTACTTCCCTCTTCCCTTCCTTCCTTCCTTCCTTCCTTCCTTCCTTCCTTCCTTACTTCCTTCCTTCCTTCCTTCCTTCCTTCCTTCCTTCTATCTTACCTTCCTTCTATCTTACCTTCCTTCTTTCCTTCCTTCCTTCCTTCCTTCCTTCCTTCCTTCCTTCCTTCCTTCCTTCCTTCCTTCCTTCCTTCCTCCTTCCTTCCTTCCTTCCTTCCTTCCTTCCCTTCCCTTCCCTTCCCTTCATCCTTTATTTCCCTCTTCCCTTCCTTCTTTCTTTCTTTATTCCTCCCTTTCTCCCCTACCCTCCCATCCCCTCCTTTCCCTTCTCTTAACTCTTTACTTCCCCCTCCCTTCCTTCCTCTCTTCCTCTCTCACTTACTTCTTTCAATCCTTCCATCCCTCACAACAATACAAAACCACGTTCAATTCATCACTGCCAGCAGGACAGTTACAAAGATATTCTTACTAAAATCCGGACTAAAAACAGAACTCACTGATCAAGATGCTTCTCTGTCTCATTCCAACCAACTGCTTTTACCATGGGCTTGATTTTCTGAATCATGTATTTCTAGAAAACAAAACCAGTAATGATTATTACTAATGTTATATACTTTGAAGATTGCTTGTGGTGTTTAGAACTGGACGGTTCTAAGTTGCTACTCCGAGTTTCATGATTAATACGATCATCAGGCAATTGTATGCATGGTACAGCTCTGCCTATGGCTTAATACAATTTAGATATCAGTAATGTATTATGCTATTTGGTGTAAAGAACTGGACGGTTCTAAGTTGCTACTCCGAGTTTCATGATTAATACGATCATCAGGCGATTGTATGCATGGTACAGCTCTGCTTATGGCTTAATACAATTTAGATATCAGTAATGTATGCTATTTGGTGTATAGAACAGGATGGCTCTTAGTTGCTACTCCGAGTTCACGCTTTATATGATCACCAAGCAACTGTCAGCAACTGTCAGTATTTTGTGGCTTTTAAACATGCACAAATTTTGAAGCATACTGAAGCCTTTTGTCTGACACACTTCGAAGCATAAAATGCCAGGATATAGATCTAAAACGTTTCACAAACTTTGTCATACATGTCGAAGAGTTTTTTTGACTGGATCAACGAATGACAGGTTGCCTAGGGTCAGGGAACGCTCTCCTAGAAATATGACATCAACCAAAACATGGTGCCTCTCCGGATTGTTCATATCCGCCCAAAAACGTAACCTATGAGTTATATTCCACCAAAATAATGAAATGTAACAATTTATTCAAGCTCAGAGGATCGTTTGATTAAACATTTTTTAGCCGTTTGATGGTACTAGTCATGTTTCGCCCATGCCAAATTGGCTCTGCAGTTTTCAGAGAGAATAGTTGAAAGGTGTCCTGCAAGGCTATGCTTTGGGAACCTTTATATTGAATATTTTTCGGCTGCAACTGACTCACAAATTATTGAATTTTCTAATGAGGGACTATTTTCATACATCTTTTGCTAATTCATATACATCACGTGGTCCACGTGTACATAAAGTATTTTTCGATATTTCTTATTGAAATTTCCTTATGGACTCAAATCAAATATAAATCTTTGTTTCATCTTGCCAATAAATCCTGTCTCAATTTACATATTCTCTTTATCATCTGGAATTCTTTATTTTCTCCATTATCCTTTGCTCGCACTTTCCTCAAGTTTTACAGAATCGGTCACTTTTTGAACTAACCCTGATCCTAACCCTCACCTCTGCCCTTTCAACTCAGAACCCTAGCTAAGGTCGTGACCTTTTCTTTTATCCAGGTTTCATCAAAGTTTGCAGCGTCCACACACCTAGTAGCAACCCAAATCGACCACCAGCGAGGCCAATGACATTGCCACGAACGATATCAAGGAGAAACAAGAGAAACCCCACTGCCCCCACGATTGCCCCACAAGAGGAACCCTTGCCAAGTTACGATACTGCAGTAAGAGCGGGAAGACCAAAAGAGCGGCACCAGATGCGTGTGACAGGCAATTACTGAAAGGTCACAAATTAGAGGTCAAAATCGCAAAGTTGTAAGTTTACGATAAAGGTCATGATTCAAAGGCCAATTAGTTTTCTCTAGATGTAATTCTGATGATAGCTTAGTGCTAAATGATCCAAAGTGGTTCACTCCTTATAGTGACTCGAAGTTCTCCTTTAAACTGTAATTTTTTGTAGTTTTAACCATTTAGAAATTTGTAGTCTTTTATCCAAAAAGGACTAGAAAAAGTTTGCACATATTGTATTGTCAGTTGAACGTTTTCGTGAGTTGTTTATCTTAGCATTTGTAATAAATATCTGATATATAACATAAATATATCATATATAACATAAATATATCATATATAACATAACATCGCAAGGCCATCAAACTATAGTTCGGGAAATTTCAAATTCTCATATATCTTACAAGCTGATGCGATAGTGCAAGGTTTTCCAGACATCCATTGTCTCAAAATTGACATGTTGTTAGCGAAAACTTTCTCCTCCTCGAAATGTTATCAGAAAAATTAGATAGCACAAACAAATTCTTATGTCAAAGTTGTAGGGATTTTAGATTGTCAAAATATAATTGCAAGTTTCGAAGAAAACTGTGAGGCAGAAGTGTCTGATAAAATTGTCTGTTAGACGTGTCCGGTAGTGGTGTTCTTTGCTTTTCTGGTTATATTTTGCGATTGCTTCAATTTTACACTCTTTTTTATCATTGCACCGGTATAAGTGTCCGATAGAATAGTCCGATAGACGTGTCCGTTAGTGCTGTGTCTGTTGCTACTATGAGTGCATTGTGTGATTGCTCCAAATTTCATCTTTTTTATATCGCTTCCCTCTTTGTAAGTAGTTTTTTAAACGTTTTCATTTTGCCAATGTTTCAATTTTGTTCAGAACATTAGAATATACTGATGACCTCTTGACCTTTGCAACGACATTGGTATAAACGTAATTATTTAAAATTTCCTATCATCGTCCTATAGTTGAGTATTTCTTTACACCTGTTACTAATTTATTTATGATTTCAATTTCTTAAGTCTTAAGTTCTTATAGCACCGGCTTTTGCATTGCATGGTAGACCTTCGTAGTAGCCTTTGTCCTCTGACCTTTCAAAGATTCGTACAAGGCAACATATCTTTAAGTGCATCTGCCCCGTTGTGTGGAAATTTGTGCCAAGTATCACAGTGTACCAAATACCGTTTCGTCCTTTAGAGTAACCTTTGTCCTTTGTTTGACCTTTCAAAGATTCGTTCAAGGCAACATGTCATTAAGTGCATCTGCCCCGTTGTGTGGAAATTTGTGCCAAGTATCACAGTGTACCAAATACCGTTTCGTCCTTTAGAGTAACCTTTGTCCTTTGTTTGACCTTTCAAAGATTCGTTCAAGGCAACATGTCATTAAATGCCTCTGCCCCGTTGTGTGGAAATTTGTGCCAAGTATCACAGTGTACCAAATACCGTTTCGTCCTTTAGAGTAACCTTTGTCCTTTGTTTGACCTTTCAAAGATTCGTTCAAGGCAACATGTCATTAAGTGCATCTGCCCCGTTGTGTGGAAATTTGTGCAAGTATCAAAGTTGATCAAAAAATTTCTGTGTCGAAATTTTGATGTTCTAGTCGAATTGTTCATCAATGAAGCAAGGAGAGTGGTTTTGTAATATCTCAACAAACATTACAGGGTACCCATTTCGTTGATTCGTGTAGTAGCAGCTCGAAAATAGGTATGTTAAGATAGGACCCCCCCCCCTTCATTTAACATAAGCAAAAATTGATCGTGCCAAGAGTGGACCTGGTAGCGGACCACAAGTGGATCGCATAAGGGACCAATAGCGGATTGGGTCCACCAGATTCCATGTTAACGGAGGGCCTATCTGTACCAAAAGAAGTTCGGGTCCGGGCTAGATCCGTCCGCTTTCGCTCTTGGAAATCCGGCCTCGGTCGACTTGGCGCCCGGTTATTCGAACAAAGCAAAATTCATTCGATAACAATTTACGGCCTAGGCATTGGTGATTGCGAAGAGAAGAAATTTTGCTGGGATAGAAGTTAGTGGGAATTCGAATTAACGAAGGGTCTAATTAGCAGAGATTCGAATTATTGGGCAGTCGTTTCAGACCTTTATAAACTTTAATCTATTGAATAAAGCAGCGACATAGAAGAATATTAGTGCCTATGTGAGGAAATTTCCAACCCCTAATATATTTGTTATTGTACTCTTAAACTGCTACTGTAAATCCCAGAGATGTATAAAGTTTGGTATGTAAGGGAGCGTTCGTTATAAATCTATGTAATGTTTTGATTTTTGTGTAAATGTGTGATATACATACTTCTTTAGCATAATTTATGTTTTTTTCTTTTCATACTTCACACCATTATATTTATACTCTTTTTTAAGAACAGTAAATTTAAGTTCTGGCTGACTCTTCTTAATTTTTTTGAAAGTCTGAGGCTGGATTGTTCTTAATTTGTTCTTAAATTGTTCTTAAATTTTTCTTATATGAAAAGGGTGTAAGCAGTACGATCGCTAGCTTTCTCGCTTTAGGGAGGTGTTGAGGCCTCATTTGCCAACAAAATAGGTGAGACAATATTCATTTGTGTGAATGAAGAAAAGGTCACTGTAGCAGGCTGCTCGACGGGTTCCAGGGAGTTTTTGCGGCGAAAAGTCGATAAGTTGATAGGAGTTCTTGTTGTGTATTCTCGGCGTATTGCGGTGTTTCTTATTTGCTACAATATTCATTTGCCGACAAGTTTGAATATTCACCAAAAAAGCACCCAAACATAGGTAAAATCCTTGTTTTTTGAGGTAAAACGTTGTATAAAATTGCATTTTACAGCAGCTCAGCCTCAGCTTGTTCTTGATTTGTTCTTAACTTTTTACCAATTTTGAGGCTCGTGTTCTTATAAGAAGAGCACACACTCATTGCATGCAGTGGCTTAGCGCTAAGAACAGTTGCATAACTAAGTCATCTTGGGCCATAAGGAACAAACTGAGACCCTGGGGCCCCTATTTACGGGTTGCAGGAAAATCCAATCCTAGAGTGTAAAGCATGTCAGGGGGCCCTTAGTTATCGAATTTGGGTGCCCTAAACTGCCTACGCCACGGGCCAATTTCTACTTTTGGCATTTTATTTATTGCAACATTTTGCCCAAAAGCCCCCACCCCTTGTTATTTTGATAGCACTGCACCCCTATTTTCAGGTATATAGCGGAACCTCCTCCCCAAGAATCTGCCAACCAAGAATCCTTAGAGTACGAACTCTCAAAAGTAGCAGACATTTTTGGGGCTAATTGGCATTTATCGTGAATTCTGTAATAAGACACGGTAGGAGGGGCTAATTATAAATTTATGCTTCTTGAGGTTACGTCCATCGGTCCAAAGTAATTAGAAGACAGATTTGTGGTCCCAGAACCCTTCAAAGCAGCATCAAATGTAAGGCATTGATCTATTTAAAAAAAGTAAATCAAAGAAAATACAATAGAACTGACACATAAAATGTATTGACAATGCAATCAAGATGACAAATAAAATAATTCTGTAACAGAGAATGTATTTGCTATTAGGGGAGATAAACAGCAACGGGGGGGGGGGGCTTATTTTTCTATATTCCAAATTGGAAGTTTGTTAGAGAAGGGGGATATAAAGGGAGAGAATCATAGTTTACAGTAAAGCATACCAAAATTAGAAGGAACGTGAAGTTGGCAATGGCGGAGGTTCGAATTAGGTGGTAATCGAGGTTCAACTGCAGAGAAATCAACAAGACAAGTCTCACGTAAAAATTGCGTTTTGATATTGTAACGTTGAATGGAATATTGTTGAAACCGGCGTTCTCTCATCTCAAGTTTAATGTTATTATCAGTTGTGGGTGATAATGAGAAGGCGTATTTATTTCTATTATAGAATGCCCACGGGCAATTACAAAACCCATCACAGTGTGTTTGCCATCTCATTCTTCATTGCTGAGACAGTATTCTTTGTACACACATATCATCTTAGGGAAAACCACCCATAAGGAAATTGATCTGGAAGAGAATGAAAGGTATAAAACCGCTTCATGGCCTCCAACAAAAGGGGGCCAGGGGCCATGTCCCCCACTTTTTTGTAAAGCAATATTACTTTTCACAAAACCTTTTGTTATAGGTACTAAATTTTCCCTTGGCCCCCCACTTTTTTGCCGTACAATAGCACTTTTCACAAAACCTTTTGTTATAGGTACTAAATTTTCCCTTGGCCCCCCACTTTTTTGCCGTACAATAGCACTTTTCACAAAATCTTTTGTTATGGATGCTAAATTTTCCTTTGGCCCCCCATTTTCCATCCTGTGTCGGAGCCCATGCGTTGTACTGTCAGGGACAGCGGAAGTGGGAGAGGGGGCTGAGTGGGCTTTTGTCCCCCTCTAATAACTTCTGAAATGTATATAAAACAATACAAAAATCACCTTGCTCTTGGTTTTAACATGTTTAGCCCACCCCCAAAACAGTTTTAGGCCCCTCAATCTGTAATATTTTCCGCGGTCCTTGAGTACTGATCACCCCGATACTTAAACAAATTGCTCAACAATCTATCTTCTAAAGAAGAGATAAAAATTATTGCTTCTTATAAAAGTTTGAAGGGTTAACAAGACTAATTTTTGGGTTGATTTACGTTTTTGTTCCTCTACGTCTAGGTCTTTGCACAAAATGCATATGATAAAAAACCTTTTGTAATGTTTCGTTACTTCTTGCGTTGCGTTAGAGACTAATAACACGAAGCCGCTATCTTATATCAGGATTACGTTGCGTTTTGTCTCTTGCGCAGTGTCACTATCTGTTATGTCGCGTTTTTGGGTCATTCTGAGTTACTGTTTCATGAATTCTACATCTTTGTTTCATGAATTTTTCCCTTTTCATCATCAGGTACCCTGACCCTCCAACTATCCCAAAATCTGAGTTTTGGTTTGTTGTTATGGTCATAGATAAAACTAAGGGGCTAATAGTAGAGATGGGTCCCCCAGAACCACCTCTACTTCATGCAAAATGTTTCAGTGCCCTTTCACAAAACACCTTTCACCCGTGCTGTGACTTGCATTGCGTGGTTGCGTATTACACCACTTCGTTGTTGCGTTATCGTGTCTTACGTTGTTTCAATGCGTCTTATGTTGCGTCACTGCGTCAGTTACCCCCACCTTACGTTGCGTAGTTATCGTAAACGCTTTGCTACCCAGCCAAAGAATCATTATGACGTCTTCGATTGAGCGCAGAACTAAAAACGCAACTGATGGCAGAGAGGTGATGAATAACAACCTTTTATCAAGTACGGATTTGATATAAAAACCTTTAAATTATTTCATCAAGTCTGTAATTTCGCCCGCCCTCCATTGAGGGTTTTTTGAAGAAGTGCAGATAATTTTTTGAATCACTACGCTGAGATAAGTTAGGTGTTATTTGGTAACCCACAAAACTCTTTCGCTGATATCTTAGATTGTTTTTTTCACAATTATTCTCAATTTGAGTGGAAAACGTCCAAAATTAAACATGTGCAACAATTCTTTTACAACTCATTTCCTGAAAAAACCGTCTCTGCGTTGGAGCTAGGCCTGTCTGAATTTGAAAAAATGCCAAATTCTGATTGGTCAATCGAAAACAAATGTATTGTTCTTCTATTGTCTAAGCAATTGAATTTCGAATCTTTTGTTAATTTCCATTGTTCTCTTCCATGTGATCAAATCATACGGGCAAGCTGTGATGGACAATTGACAAGCGATTGAGTCCTGGAGGCAGGTCGCAAAGAAAATTGCTTGTTTTATTCACAAATTTCTTAATAATTAAGTACAAACGCATTTTTGGAAAAGGTACCAGCTTCCTTGATGAATTATAACCAAGGACTGTGCTTGTTTTTTGCGTTAGATGCGTCCCTATGCTTGAGCGATAGGCCTAATGTCAAGCCGATATGATTATGGCGACCAAACTAGTTTTGAATGTCAGAATTCGCCTAGTGACTCAATTGCAAGCGAGTTGTCAATGGATGATTTTTTGAGGAGACTTTTTGCAGCTTGTGATACAGATAACGACGGTTATTTAGATAGGTAAGAGTGAATTTTTTTTCATTTTCCATTTCCATATCTTCATTGGATTTTTAAAACACACTGGGTCGATGCAATGAATGGTACACTGTTTAATTCCACCCAAAGCTTTTGGGGCCGGCAAGAACACGGTTTTTTGTTTTGTCTAAACTATATTTGAAACTGTTGCACTGATAAGGTTAAAATATCCTTCGTTGTGCATATCAACTTTCATTGAAGAGTAATAAAAACTCTCTCATTTAATATGAATTTTTCTACGCTACTAGCCTCATCTTTGCATGTTAATTATTACTTTCCGTTTTGCGAAATTTTTGTTATCATTTTCCATGTTTTCCTTATAATTTTCAACCGATTTACTTAGTTGGTAAAGTGTAAATTGACTAATTAATTGAGTACCAAACCAGGCTAGACAATGTTTGTTTCCAATCAATATGTTTTCAAAATTTCCAGACAATCGTTGGTGAAGTTTCACAATTTTTTATTACACCATTAGAACTTTCTAATATTTCATTTACGATGTCTGATTTTCTGGGCAAAACCACTGGAATCCTGAGATCCGTTTTTAAGATGGCCACAAAAACGATCAAATTTTCACGGCTGGCCAACAATCCACTTGAAGTGTGAGGTTTACACGTTGAAATTCAAATAATTGTTTAAAACGTTTTCACACATCATTTATAGCAATCGTTATCATAAATTCTGCAGACTTTATCATTTAACTATAGTAAAATGCAAAAGAGAAGTCGTAGTCGAGTTTATTAAAAAGATTTGCACGTTTATTTTTTCTGCACGCAATTTGAGGTCATTCCTGAAGTCCACCACATCTTGACTTCGAAATAACTTTATCGAGGAACCTTATCAGTTAGGAATGTTTGTTCCCGCATGATTCATGTTTAAATAAACAAAATATATTAATATTTTATTACTGCAAGCTGTCGAAATGATAAGAAAATAGTTCTGCATTGGTCGAGAATATGGACAATTAGGCCGTCTGTCAAGTGTTTATTTGACCTCAAGATTTTGTTATGGTACAGAGTTGCCACGCAATCATAAGTCGAGTGAAAATTAACCAACACAATTATAATTCATGAATATATAAACCAATTTTGGAGAGAATAGTCATTTAATACCTCATTTGAATTGAATTTTTTATTTCATAATTTATAATTTTAAGATAAAATACTGCATAAGAGTCAAATTGTTACATTCCAGTCAGAGGGTCCCCTTTTTCTATCGTATAATACTTTGAAATATCTTATGAATAGGAAATAATGAACTGAA